GTCAGTAAAATTGTGCATGGTCAAAATACATTTGCTAACATGTTTACTGATGATAAGTATTTTCTACCTGTCTAGATTTTTATTTACCTTTGCATATGGTGTCCCCTTAGATTTTTACGGTATTGTTTTTGCACAAGGAAAATCATTTCTCTCTAGTTTTCTCTCTAAAGCATTTCTCTCTAGTTTTCTCTCTAAAGCATATCTATTTTTTAGGGTTTCATGTACAGCTCAGTACTTCTAACTGACACACTGCTGTAATTTGGAGGCTGTGTTATTTAAGAATGACAAGTCACAAAAGACCTTTGTAATAGCAATAACCTTTTCTTGCTGGATAAGGTCTGGGATGTGGATGGGAAGAGAGGAGTAAGGGCAGTGGCAGTGCTGAGGTTCCTGCTACCATGAGGTTGCATCCAGAGGGGTCAGCAGAAGTCCACCATAACTGGTAGTCATGGAGGTAATGCAGAGTATTATTGTGCCTTACACGTGGAAAACTGGAGGAAGAATACATTTAGGCTTGATCACGACCATAAGAAATGTGATTTCCTTACTCTGCTTGGTTCCTCAGTCCTGCTACCATCTTGATCTGAGCTGTTTCTAAGCCTTGTGGTGGGCAACTGTGCCAAAGAAAAGCCTGGCAAGCAAAACTGGGAACTTGTCATGCTATTCCAGAATGCCTTTTGTCCGGGCTGGGGCTGGCTTTGCTCTTCACCCAGTATTAAATGTCAAGTGATGATTGCTAAAAATTTCCGCACTCTCAAATGAGCCCTGGGACTTTATCGGGAAATGATCGTTCCATAAGCTCTGAAGCAGTGTGAAGAGTGCTGTGTATGGCACCTTCCATTTGTTGGGAAATGGGAACATTGGAATGGTGGCACAGAAACTAAAATTTGATATTTGCCACTTCTACAGGAATTGCTGGCATGATATAGTGAACTGGTTTTGGCCAAGATAGAGTTAAATTTCTTCATAGTAGCTTGTGTGGGCTTGTATTTTGGATTTGTGATACAAGTGTTGATAACACAGGCATGTTTTTATTATTATTGAGCAGCGCTTACACAATGTCAGGGCCCTTTCTGCTTCTCACCCCACCCCACCAGTGAGTAGGCTGGGGGTGCACAAGGAGTTTGGAGGGAACACAGCTGGGAGAGCTGACCCCAACTGACCAAAGGGGGGTTATTCCATACCATATGATGGCATGCTCAGCAATAAAACCAGGGGTGAGGGGTGTGGGTGAAGGTTGGTCAGAGCTGCTGTTGCGTGGGGACTGACTGGTCATCAGTCAGTTGGTGGTGAGCAATTGTTTTCTTTTGTGCCACTTGTCTGTCTTGGATTTTTTTCTTCCCCCCCCCTTTTTTGTTATGTTTTTCCTTCTCTTAAAAAAAATATTCAACTGTCTTTATCTTAACCCATGAATATTTTGCACTTTTACCCTTCTGATTCTCTCCCCCCATTCCACTGGGTGTGTGTGGGGGTGTAAGCGAGTGGCTGAGTGATGCTTAGCTGCCTACTGAGGCTTATCAATAGAAAAATCATTTATCTATCCACTTTTTCAAGCACATAGAAAAAGGCTAGGAACATTACAACCTATCAAGAAAGGTAATTGAATGTGAGCTTAATTTTAAGTGTGTTAATGACCTTTATAAAAGCATATTTGCAGTAAACTCCTTACTCTTTAAATTAAAAAAAGTAAATAAAAAAAAAAAAGAGAAAGGCTAGAAAGGATCTGAGATTACTTTGAAGGACCTGCTTCCAAAATTGGTGATTAAAGAAGGATAATCACAGTGCTTGTGGCTTCAAAGGTCAGTAGTGCTGAATTTAAGTGACTGATGGATTCCCTTCACCAGAGGTGCAATTTTCCCCTGAAGAAATACTTCTTAAAGACCAATGCTGGCTAGCTGGTAGTTATGAGAGAATCCAAAGGGAATTTCAAGTAGGTTGTTAGGGTTATCGTTTACTCAGTGGTTTCTGCCGATATTGTAGCACAGAGATCCCACAGCACTTCTTCTTAGGATGTGATAAATTGTGTACCAGGTGAAGGTGAGAAAGGAGCAAAGGCAGCCACTGTGATGACAAACTGTTGCTTTGCTACTCCTGCTACGAACCTGCTATTTCTCTGCCAGCAATCACCAGCGCCTTAGCTGCACCCAGCATTGCTTTCCTTAGCCCGTGATAACATGCCTGCGTGTTTGGGACTGCTTTAAGGAGATGCTGGGTACGCAGCTACAAACAGCACAGTTTTTCTTCTGCGTGCCAGCATGGCAAGAACAGTACATTTTATGGCTACGTTGGCAAGACCCTTATTGTATAGAGGCTCTTCATGCAACCCAAGGGATTTCCAGTAGCTGATACAACATAGAGTATCAGCTAGTGTGAGAAAGAGGTACCTCAGCCTGCTCCAGTGGGAAGGTCTATTGTTTTCGTCTCTCTCAGATCTGTGACTGGCAGCAGGGATCCATCAACACAGTAAGAGTTAATGCTGTAAGAGTTATTTTTGTTGCATCTCGCTATATTTAATTCCTCCATCTTTGTATTAAAAATATATTATTTTAATTACAGAAGATACTCAGATATGATGCGTATTTGATGTAGTTTCCCGAGTTGTTCCTCTTATGGAAAAATAGCACAATTAGGGGAAAAATGGGGTGGGGGGAAGAGAAAGTGGAAGTATCCAGTTTAATAACTTCTAAGTGGTTGTTTTGCTTTGTCATTTGACTACAAATGTATTTAATAACTAAAGTCCACCCCTAAATCATACAAAACATTACATCAGCTGGGTGTAAAATAAAATATCTGGTGGGATCTGAAATAAGTTTTATGTTGTTTTTTGATTGATGGAAAAATCACCTACTTTGTTTTGCTGTACTCTTTCAGGACTTCAAGCCAGTTTAATGCTAATGATTCCCTGTTATCCAGCTAAAGAAAATATACTGATGAGGTTAAATAAGGCCACAGTCAACATCAGTTAATGCAGTGTTGAATGTGTTGCCTGATTGGTATTAAAAAGAAAAAAGGAAAAGCAATGTCTAGCACCTTCATTTAAAAAAACACCAAAGTTGTCCCCCCCTTAAACAAAAAAATTCCTCAGAAAACCCAAATTAAGGGAGGTTCCTGAACTGTAAGAAAATCACTGTTAAGGCACTAATGCTAGTAATGTCTCCCCTAAACTCACTGTTTATATATCTCTGCTCTTGCTTTCCTATTTTGGTCAATGACATTCTTAAAGATGAGACTCCAAGTCTTCCCATTGATGTTTGGATTCCCAGGACTACTGTGACTTTGAAAGTCCTTATTGCTGCATCTTTGGCTCCTCTTCAATGAGTGGATGTTGACCGTGGAAAGAAATCTTGAATTTACATCTTTATCACTACTTTCTGCTGGCATCTTCTTGTGTTTCTACCTTGAAAAGGAGGGGAGCCATTTCTGGCTTTTACTGTCTTTGGTTCATTCTGGTTCTTGTTTTTTGCTGCTCCTGTTTGAGTCGTAACAAGGAATGTGCCATGCCATTGGACTCAAAACTACTTACCTGCTGTGTTCGGTGGATATGCAATTAGAGCAGCTGGAAAAGTGACACAGATACTACCCTGGCCTGGAAACCCTTCCCAGATTTCAGAATTGGGACTCCGGTGTTGTTTGCAGAGTTATATGATGACTAGATAAGTGACCTTAGTGTACATGTTTGATGTCAATGTGGCTTTATTTTCAATATCACAGAGTGCTATGGAGCAGAGGAGTTTGGGCACGGTTTCTGTGACAGCCGTGAGCTACAGCACGGGGGCTGTTTGGGCAGGGGTGGCCGCAGGAAGAATGGGAGTTGCAGAAGTCGCATCGCTGCGATGGCCTTGGCACCCCAAGGAGGGCACCGAAATCGAGAAGTGATGGCAAAGGTCAGCAGACTCTCAGCGTCAGCAAGACCTGGGCAAAAGCTCAGCCCTTCATTCATTACTGAGCAACCAAAGCGACAATGCAGCCTTTTTCCGTGGAGAATTTGTGGCTCCGTCCACTGTCCATTGTATTGATTTCAATGAAGCTTAAGCGCATACTTAGAATTAAGCACTTCTTTGCCTGGTGCCCTCAGGAAGAGAGAGTTTCCTCAACTGGGGCCAAACATGTACTTTGTATGGGGCATCTTCTGACCCAAAAGTTCAATTAAAGCTTCTGAGGCACTCTGAAAGGATATTTTTAATTGTTCAAAGTCTTGTTTTGTTTTCAGCCCCTGCAAAATAATCTGAATGTGTGTTTGTATAAATGCATAAGGGAAAAGCTGGCAAAGGAA